TGTGGTGGCACACACCTGTGATCCCAGCTACTCTGGAGGCTGAGGTGCAAGGATTGCTTGATCCACGACTGCACCACTGCACTCCAGCCCGGGCAACAAAACGAGACCCTGTCTCAAAGGAATAGCTTCATTTTTGTTTTAGCACTTTGCACTACACACTTTATGGTTATTTTCCCATTTAATCTTTACAGCCACTTATGGGGTAGGTATTTTTATCCCTGTTTTACAGAAGTGGAAATTAAGGTTCAATAACTTGCTCATATTCACATAACCAGTAAGTAGCAGAAATGGAGTTTGAACCTGTGTGTTAGAGTGTAATGCCCAAGTTCTTAACCTATTCCAGCCAAATCCTCTATCAGACCTGCCTCCCTCATCCTCATGTCCACTGCACACACAAGTCAGGCAAGATGAAAATCTTAACAGCTGGAATGTCTATGATAATTGACCAAAAGCTATGCCATTCATCATTCAAAACCTCTAAGACAGTGAGTCTTATTGGAGGGTGATTTTCTTTCCCAGGGGACATTTGGCAATGACTACAGACATTTCTGGTTGTCACAACTGAAGGGGTACTACTGGCACCTAGTGGGCACCGGGCAGGGATACTGCTTAAACATCCTGGAATACACAGCACAGCCCCTCCCCACCATGTCCTCCGTAACAAAGAACTATCTAGCCCAAATGGTCAATAGTACGGCGGTTCAGAATCAGTGCTGTGAGCTGTTTAATCTGTAAGCTCCCGCATCATCCTGAGATTGGTCTTACAAGGAAGTGAGCACATCACACTGATGGAAACTGTCCTTGTCCCTTGTTGTCAGGGACTCACTGTCAGTAGCTTTGTTCTTTGTCTAGCCCTCGCCTCTCCAGTTAATCATCAGGGAGATGTTATCGCCTAGGCTAGTCTGAGGTTTGATCTTCATGTTGAATTCTGGACTGGAGAATTCGTCTGCTTTCATCCCCCTTATCCCTCCCAGAGATGCTTGGAGGGAGCTTTGCTGCAGCCTAGCAGCTTTACCTTCTTCCCCATTGATGGTATTTGACTGCCTACCATGTCCAGCACCGTTCTAGGTGCTGGGGACACATCAGTGAACAAAGCAAAGATCCCTGCCAGGGAGTTCGTAGTTGGTGAGGCTTTCTGAAGATGGTAGAGAAGCCTGGGGGAAGCTTGGGATGAGACTGTGCGTACCCTGGCTTGCGTGCCTTTTGTCCTCCCAATGCAGAAGAATCAAAAAGCAAAGCTGCTGTCTTGAATATGTCTAATCAAATCCTATAATCAGTTTCAGATTATGATTATTTCTCTGTAAGTGGTGACCAGGAGGCAGATCAACAGGAGTTCGACAAGTCCTCCACCATTCCAAGAAACAGCGACATCAGCCAGTCCTACCGACGGATGTTCCAAGCCAAGCGTCCAGCCTCAACTGCTGGCCTCCCCACCACCCTGGGACCTGCTATGGTCACTCCAGGGGTTGCAACTATCCGACGGACCCCTTCCACCAAGCCTTCTGTCCGCCGGGGAACCATTGGAGCTGGTCCCATCCCCATCAAGACGCCCGTGATCCCTGTCAAGACCCCAACGGTCCCAGACCTCCCAGGGATGTTGCCAGCCCCTCCAGATGGGCCAGAAGAGCGGGGGGAGCACAGCCCTGAGTCGCCATCTGTGGGTGAGGGCCCCCAAGGTGTCACCAGCATGCCCTCCTCAATGTGGAGCGGCCAAGCTTCCGTTAACCCTCCACTTCCAGGCCCGAAGCCCAGTATCCCTGAGGAGCACAGACAGGCAATTCCAGAAAGTGAAGCCGAAGACCAGGAACGGGATGCCCCAAGTGCCACTGTCTCCCCAGGCCAGATTCCAGAGAGTGACCCTGCAGACCTGAGCCCAAGGGATACTCCACAAGGAGAAGATATGCTGAACGCCATCCGAAGGGGCGTGAAACTGAAGAAGACCACGACAAATGATCGCTCGGCCCCTCGCTTCTCTTAGGCTCACAAGAAACACGCCAGTGGGCAATGAACTGTTTCATTAATAAAACCTAATTTGTCTTGATCCATTCCAATCTATAATAAAACAAAAGATTTTGTAGGCAACTCGGAATATAGCTCTTTTGAAAGTACTCGACACCTTTAGATAAGAATTAAAACCAACCTATGTAACTGACATAATCTTGATCTTTTAATTTGTAAATATTGACAATTTTCTTTCTGCACATTTTAATCTTAAGTTTCCCTTTTGATTTTTCTGAAGGTGCCAAATTCCATTTAACTTTTTTACAAGTCTTTGTAAAATTTTAAATGCATAAAAGGGTGGGGGTTGGGGCAGGGCAACCACGAAGTAGTTAATTTTAGAAAAGGATTTACTATACTTCACTCTTCTTTTTCTTCCCCCACAAGCTTTTGTAGAGGCATTGTAGTAGTCTAGCTTAGAAGCAAATGCAAGTTATTTTAATGTACAAACTAAATGGCTAAGAGGTAAAATCCTCATTTAAATATACTATGTTCTAGATGAAAAGAGCAGGAGTAACAATTGATGAGCAATATTCAGAGTGAAGTAAATCTGGAAATGGTAGACTGTGTTGGGATTGGGGGGAGGGCCATGGGAGGGGCACACCGTCAACATAGCCGATCCTGTTACATTTAAGAGTAGCCTCGTAGGTTGAATTTCTTCTAGTAGCTTCATGGTAAATGCATCCGAATAAGCCATACTGGATTGCAGTGTTTGTTTCTGTAGGGTGTTTAAGGACTTCCTTTCTCCCACGATTCCTCTGGACTGCACACAGCACCCACCTCCAGCCCCATGCATGCTGCTGCCGCTGGGCAGTCGTAGAAGCCCCCACTTCAGTTTCTCGTTGATTGTACTCACCTTCATGGAATCCAAATACATCCAAAAGGGTAAGGCAGTTTTAAAAAATGTGAAAACATTTAAAAATGATAGCAGGGAATTCTTATAGTAAATGCCTTTTACTTAACTGTGCCCAGCAGGCTGGGTGCGTTAAAAAGCCCAAATATTTTGAAAAAACTCGAACGGATTTGACAAGGGTAGCCAGCTTGGAGTCTAGCAAGCAACTTGCCAATGTGTTTACCAATCTGGGGGCTTGTTTTTCTTTTCTTCTTTCAAATAAATGGCAGTTAACTGGCTTCACAGTAAACATTGAAGAGAGGAGGATTTGGTTATTGTCACTGGGAATCTGACCACTATACTGTCCTTTTTTGTATTCTGGGTAATGTTTTTTGGAAAGGATTTGTCTTTTCTTTTTTAAATGAAAGTTAAATTTGTTATAATGCCCACACCCTAAAACCAACAGAGATTTGTAGATTTAAAGGGATCACATTTGAAGACAATAGTGTTTAAGAAAGCAAGCAAGTCCCTTAGCAGTCAGGTCAGTTAACAGGGCACATTTCTGACCTAACCCTCTCAAGGAAGAGGAGGAGCTTGGTGGGTCTCATACACCCTGCAGATTCCTGTTGGCTCTAACCCTCAATTACCTAATCTTATGCTTTAACACATAACTGCATTGGATGTGAGAGTAACGTGCCGTATGGTCATTGTTCTATATATTAACATTGAACACTGCTGCAATTGCTCAAGGACATTTTATGTTACGGCTTTAAAGCAAAGGCATGATTATTAGAAACTATTTAAGCTTTTTTCTTTGAAAAACAAGCTCCTTTTACAGAATATAAGCAACAGTAGTGCCTGTGGTTTAGCCCACCAATCTTGATGACTAAAAGTAGCTGATGCATTGTGCATATGATGCTTGAGACGGTTTTTGCAAAAGCAGAAATCGCTGCAAGGTAATCACAATAGATAAAAGTGGTATTTTAAACCTTTGAAATAAATGGATGTAACTGTACCTTGGTACAGCTTTTCACTTGTTTAGTTTTTAAACGTTAGTATAATCTGAATAAATAAAATGTTGCCAAATTCAATGTAGAAAGAATGTGACGACACACCTTGGGTAGTTCTGCTTGTGTTTTTGCATATTGTAAAAGCAGTGTCACAGCTAAAAATAAAGACATCGTTTCTAACGGTAAATTATTGTGGTTTAGTTGCTAGTTTGTACTGAGAGTTGACCTCTCCCTGTGCAGTTTTTTGTTCTAAACTTGTATAAATAACAATTGTGTACTGTGTCTCCCTTCTACATTGTAACAATTGCTTCAGCCTACGTTATAAATAAAGAACCACTAGATTAAAAAAGTCATGTATTTCAAGTCTTGTTACAATTCAGTTTGAGGTCTTAGTCAAATGTTAGAAGATGGACTGGGACTCAAATAGAGCTTACATAGAAAGTGACAAAATATTTTTGTGATGGCTATAAGATCATTGGTTGCCTGAAACTATTTGAAAACAGTTCTATCTAATGAGGTATCAAGAACTAAAAGCAGCTGTTTTGGGTTGAAAGTTTTAAAAACTGCTTTATCTTTAAAAAACAAGAACAACAAACAAAGCTTCTGAAACATTTAAGGAGTTCTGTTATTCCCTTACCTTTGAGTCCGCAGACAATCCAAGCTACGGTAGCAGAAGCAAAGCTGGAAAACTGCCTCTAAAATAAGCACCACAAAGTTTTATCCCAGATTGGACCATTTAACCCCGACCATCAAACCTCCACCCTTGAGGGAACTCCACAAATTCCAGGCTTATTTGCTGACTACGTACTTCTTAGGGAGAGTTGTTGTTCTAATAAAAACCAAAATTCCATTAGTGAACTCTTTAGAAAACCAAAAAGGTTATTTTTAAATCCTCAGTATTTCTATTCTTGGCTTTGCTTATTCCTTCCAGTTACCACAGCTAATTAGGCTTTTGACTTGAGAGTTTATTCGCCTCAATCTGGTTCTGCCTCAGTTTTTCCTTACTGGTAATATGTGCTATCCGTGATTTATTGCAGAGAACACAGCTGACCGACTACATGTCCCGTTATTTTCTTCACATGCACAATTGATAAAACAATGATAGTGGCACAGTCACTTGGCATCACGGTAATTCTTAGAAGAACGCCAGTCATACCAGAGACCATTTCATTGATTTTTTTATTAGGGCAAGTGCATGTTGTGTAACGTATTTCACTTGCAAGTATGAAAGATGAGGGGTCTCTCTCTATGTGGGCCGCTCCCGGGGTCTGGTCACAATATCCCACCACAGTGGGGGCAAATCACCTTCCTTTCGGGCAGGGGGCAAAGCTTCAGTTAAAGGACCACCAGGTGGCGTTTCCTCCTGCAGCTGCTTAACCTAGAAGGAGGCAAGGAAGGAATCATTACCAAAGGAATCTAATTGACTTTAAAAATCTGTTTGCTGCAGCGAAGGGTCAGCTTTATATCCATGGTCTGTCACTGACATGACACACTGATCACAATATTGAAAAGTGTTTTTCGCATACACCTGCTTTATTTTCATACCCACACTTTCAGAAAAGTCTCCTTAAGGGTTTTCCCATTCTTCTAAACAGTAAAGCCTATTCTTCCCCCCACCCCTATTCTTCCTCCCTCCTATTCTTCCCCCCACCCCTTTTCATCACCTGATTATCTGGACCTCCTCTTACTCTGTAGACAAAAACATGACAACTATCATTCCAATTCTCCTTGTCACAGTCCCCCACTCACTGACCAGAAAAACATTTATTTTTGTGTCTCAGCTAAGTGTTCTCCAAAAGCACCATTAAGAAACCTTAGTTCATAATATGTTGGGGATGTTCCTTGTAAGCCCCCTTCCTAGCAACCAAGGACAAAAATAAACCACAAAATCACATGTAAAAATATGCCCAGTTCTGCCAAATGCTGCCCTACTACCTCCAGTTCTAGTTATAGCCAAGATAAATGTCCTAACAGAGGATAACCCATTCTGGATTGTGGCTGCCCTGGGCCTCCAGTCACATGTGCTGCTTAATAATGCTGAAGTGATGGCATAGGTAAAGGAGGAACTGTTGAGGTTATCCCAGTGATCAGTTGCAGAATGAACCCGTGGCTCACCATGAATATACTTCCAGCTTCTAAACGGTGAGACATTTCTGACAAAACATTGCCCCCTTTGGACACAGTGCCCTTCCTTCGGGTCACCCTTGGCCAAACACTTGCAAAGGTCAATATCCTTAGTGTTATCACCAGAACCAGCACAACTTCCAGATCATGAATTCAAATACCCCACTGTCCAACCACACTCTCCCTTTCCCACTCACTTGTTTAAATGCCTCCTTGAAACTCAGAGAGACTACCATTTCACAGATCTCCCAACTTGGCCTTCCCTCTCTGCATCTGCCCCCCCAGCTTAACTTTGTTTTTTTTCAATCCAGCTTAGATTCATTCCATCATGACGATAGCTTCCTCTCGAATAACCTCAAGTCCCTTGTCACTCTCTCTGAGCAACAGATAAACCGAACCACATACCCTCAGGCCTGTGCTCATACAGCTTAGTATTGCTAAAGAGAAAAAAGACACTGGAGCAAATCGGAGTCATTACTCACTAACTATTCCCAACCTCAAATGGGCCTTCGCCACCTGGCCATCCTAGTACTCTCCAGCAAGCCCCTCCTCTCCCCATGACTATCACACCTTCTCCCCGTCACTATCACATATTCTCCAAACATGCTGCGCCCACTTGTTCTGGGCTTTTCCTCCTATTTCACTAAAAAAAAAACCCAAAAAACAAAAAAGCTATTACACAAGTCTGTCATCTTCAAAACTTCTTTTTTTTTTTGTTTTTTTTGAGACGGAGTCTTGCTCTGTCGCCCAGGCTGGAGTACAGTGGCCGGATCTCAGCTCACTGCAAGCTCCGCCTCCCGGGTTTGCGCCATTCTCCTGCCTCAGCCTCCTGAGTAGCTGGGACTACAGGCGCCCGCCACCTCGCCCGGCTATTTTTTTGTATTTTTTTTAGTAGAGACGGGGTTTCACCGTGTTAGCCAGGATGGTCTCAATCTCCTGACCTCGTGATCCGCCCGTCTCGGCCTCCCAAAGTGCTGGGATTACAGGCTTGAGCCACCGCGCCCGGCCCATCTTCAAAACTTCTAACCCAAATTTATATATAATCTTTTGCCCAATTATAATGGACAAAGAATCCTTTCTCCTTTTCTTCTTTCTCTACACTCTCTCCTAAAGATTCCATACATCTCTCCATGGCTTTTAAAACTGAAAACTCCCAAGTTTCTGTTTCTAGGCCAAATCTCTCCTGGGAGTTCCAGATTTCCACATCTAAAGCTGGCTTCTGACATCTGCACTTGATATGTCACAGGATTCTCAAACTTCAGCCTTCCAAAATGAATTCTCGATTGCTGCTCTGACACCTGTGCCCCTTTCCCCAATCTTCCCTATCTTGGTAAACATCACCAAACTCCAGATGTTAAAGCTTCAAACCCAGAAACCATTCTCTCTCTCTCTTTTTTTTTTTTTTTTTTTTTTTGAGATGGAGTCTTGCTCTGTCACCCAGGCTGGAGGACAGTGGTGCAATCTCAGCTCACTGCAACCTCCACCTCCTGGGTTCAAGCAATTCTCCTGCCTTGGCCTCCCAAGTAGCTGGGATTACACGTGTACACCACAACACCCAGCTAATTATTTGTACTTTTAGTAGAGACGGGGTTTCACCATCTCTAGTTCAGGCTGGTCATGAACTCTTGACCTCAAGCTATCACCCACTTTGGCCTCCCAAAGCGCTGGGATTACAGGTGTGAGCCACTGCACCCTGCCCCAGAAACCATTCTTGATTCCTCCCTGTCCCTTGCCCACCCTCAACATCCAGTCAGTTGTCACATCCCTCCAAATGATGTCCTGAGTAAATTTCTTTCCATATCCACTTCATCCACCCTGGTGCTGATCATGACAACCTTTTGACTAAACTTCTGCAATAATCCTAGAAGGGTCTCTCTGCTTCTTCTCTTCCCCTCTCCAATATAGTCTTCACACTACAGCAAGACTGAGCTTTTAAAAATATAACTAACTGACCATCCTAACATGACTGAAAAATGCCTAAGACTCTAGTGGAGAGGCAGGTTAAGGGACCGTATGGCAAGAAGGCAAGAAAGTCAGGCAAAGGACTAAAGAGAAGGAGATCTGAAGCAAAATCAAAGACAAAGCCAAAAAGACCAGGGAATGCACTTTAACTTACTTGTAAGGTGGTTATAAATTTAAATTGATACACTTAGATACCACAGTGTATCTGAGAAGTAAGGGCCTAGAGTAACTGTCATGTCTGGAATCTGGACCTCTGCATGTGGGGATCAAAACTTGACTCCATCTACATAGCGAAGGAATATTGAAGTACAAGTAGAACGCACCTCTCGTTCCCAGCTTTCCCTCCGCAGTTTCTTCCACTGTTCTCTCTTGGCAAAGTAATCAGGATACATTGCCTTCTCAGAAGGATGCCAGTCATCTAAGCACCATTCTGGGACCTGTCAGGAGAGGAAATCATGGTATCAATCCACAGGACACACTTACCTATCCCTGATAGGGCCTGCTCAGGAGATGTAACACAAAGATCAAGGTACATTTTTATTTTTATAACCACTGCAACTACCAGACTGTTTCTAACTCTAAGCAAAGAACAGCAGAGGATAAGCAGGAACCAATAATAAAGGAAAATGCCTCAGAGTCAAAGACGGTGCTGAAAAATAGCACCATCATCAGTCCAAGGAGAACTGGCTTCATTCCTCCCCTACCTGCCTTCTCTAAATACCCAGAGTAGTCTTATCTTACTTGGAACTCTTAATTAGAGTATCTCAGAAATATTAAGCATCAATCCAAGTTGGTTAACTTTAAAGTCTAAAATGAACTTTGTTATAGCAAAAAGTATACTGTACGATCTTGAATCTGAAAGTAGAAAGGCTTAATGACATCTCAGAGAAAACTGACACCTAAAAAACAGTACTGGCACACCTTAGAGATACTGTGGGTTTGGATCCACACCGCTGCAATATAGCAAATATCACAATAAAGCAAGTCACAAAATGTTTTTGGTTTCCCAGTGCATATAAAAGTTATGTTTATACTATACTATAAAGTGTCCGATAGCATTATGATGTCTGTTGAGATGGAGTCTCCTGGTGAAGATTTTGTGAATATTGATTAAATAACAAAGGACTTTGAATAGTACAACTTAGTTGATAAAGCAGTGACAGGGTTTGAGAGGATTGACTCCAATTTTGAAAGAAGTTCTTCTGTGGGTAAAATGCCATCAAATGGCATCACATGCTATAGAAATATTTCGTGAAAGGAAAAGTCAATTGATGTGGCAAACCTCACATAATATACATAAAAAATGTACATAATTTAAAAATACATTATTGGTTGGGCGAGGTGGCTCCTGCCTTTATTCCCAGCCCTTTGAAGGCTGAGGTAGGGAGATTCTATGAGGGTAGGAGTTCGAGACCAGCCTGGACAACATAGCAAGACTCCATCTCTACAAAAAATGAAATAAATTAGCTAGGTGTGGTGGTGTGCACCTGTATTCTTAGCTACTTGGTTGGCTAGGACAGGAGAACTGCTTGAGCCCAGGGGGTCCAGGCTACAGTGAGCTATGATAATGCTACTGCACTCCAGTCTGGGCAACAGAGGGAGACCGTTTTCAAAACAAAAACAAAAGAAATACGTTATTGATAAAAACTCCAACAATCATCTGAGCTATCAGAAAATCAATCTTTTTACTGGTGGAGAGAATTGTGTCAATGTTGATGGCTGGTGACTAAACAGGGTGATGTTTGCCGACGGATGGAGTGGCTTTGGCAATCTCCTAAAATAACAATGAGGTTTGCCACATCAATTGACTCTTCCTTTCACCAAACACTTCTATAGCATGTGATGCCATTTGATAGCATTTTACCCACGGAAGAACTTCTTGCAAAACTGGAGTCAATCCTCTCAAACCCTGCTGCTGCTTAATCAACTAAGTTGATGTACTGTGTGTGAAGTCCTTTGTTACCATTTCAACAATGTTCACAAAATCTTCACCAGGAGACTCCATCTCAAGAAACCACTTTCTTATTCATCCATAAGAAGCAGCTCTTCGTCTGTTCAAGATTTATCATGAGATTACAGCAATTCAGTCACGTCCTCAGGATCAACTTCTATTCTGGCTCTCTTGCTATTTCCACAACTTCTGCAGTTACTTCCTCTGCTGAAGTCTTGGGCCCTTCAAAGTCATCCACAAGGGTTGGAATCAACTTCTTCCAACCCCATTAAAGCTGACATTTTGATCTCTTCCCATGAATCACAAATATCCTTAATGGCATTTAGAATGGTGAATTCTTTCCAGAAAATTTTACTATGCCCAAATCCATCAGAGGAATCAACATCTATATCAACTATAACTGTGCAAAATATATTTCTTAAATAATAAAACTTGCACATTGAAATTACTCCTTGATCCATGGGCTGCAGAATGGATATTAGTAGACATGGTAGCAGGTCTCGACAGTGGGTTTGAAAGATTCAGTAAACCATGTTGTACACAGATTTGCTGTAACTCAGCCTTTGTTATTCCATTTCTAGGGCACAGGCAGAGTAGGTTTAGCATAATTCTTAAGGACCCCAGGATTTTCAGAATGGCAAATGAACAATGGCTTCAACTTAAAACCACCAGCTGCATTAGCCCCTAACAAGAAAGTCAGCCTGTCCTTGAAGTTTTGAAGCCAGGCATTGACTTCTCTCAAGGTATGAAAGTTCTAGATGGTATCTTATTCCAAAAACAGGCTACTTCATCTCCACTGAAATTCTGTTGTTGAGTACAGCCACCTTCATCAACTATCTTAGCCAGCTTTTGTGTAATAATTTGCTGCAGCTTTTCCATCAGCACTTGTTACTTCACCTTGCACATCTGGGTTACAGAGATGGCTTTTTTTCCTTAAACCTCATGGACCAACCTCTACTAGCTTCCAACTTTTTTTCTGCAGCTTCCTCATCTCTCTCGGCCTTCACAGAAATGAAGAGTTAAAGACTTGCTCTGGATTAGGCTTTGGCTTAAGGGAATGTTGTAGCTGGTTTGATCTTTTGTCCCAACCACTAAAACGTTCTCCGTATCAGCAATGAGGCTGTTTCACTTATCATTTGTGTGTTCACTGGAGCAGCACTTTTAATTTCCTTAAAAAACCTTTAGTTTCCTTTGCATTCACAACTTGGCTAATCAGCAGAAAAGGCCTAGCTTTCTGCCCATCTTGGCTTTCAACATGCCTTCCTCACTCAGCTTAATCATTTCCAGCTTTTGATTTAAAGTAAGAGATGTGCAACGGATTTAAAGTGAGATACATGTAACTCTTTCTTTCACTTGAACACTTAGAGGCTATGGTACGGACATTAATTGTCCTAATTTCAGTGTTGCTGTGTCTTAGGGAATAGGGAGCCCTGAGGAGAGGGATAGAGGGAGAGGAACTACTGGTCGGTGACAGTCAGGACACACACATTTATGGATTAAGTCTGCTGTTTTATATGGGCATGGTTTTTATGCCCCCAAACAATGACAATAGTAACATCGACGGTGACTGATCACAGTTCACCACAACAGATAGACTAATAATAAAAAAAAGTCTGAAATCTTGCAGGAATTGCCAAACTGAGAAACAGAGACAGGAAGTGAGCCCATGGTGTTGGAAAAATGGTGCCCATAGACTCGCTCAGCACGGGGTTGCCACAAACCTTCAATATGTAAAAATACAGTATCTGCCAAGCACAATAAAACAAAATGCAGTAAAATAAGGTAGGCCTGCGTCTGACGACTGTCAGGAAAGAAGTCTCCTAGCTACCCCTTGAAAGGCAAGTGATTTCTAAGGCTGAGGTCTGGGACTGAAGAAACAAAGTCTATCTCTCAGAAGGCAGTCATCATTATAATTCTCGCCTACCTTGTAGCAATCGTATCTCTCATAGGAGGTGCCCCCAGGAGAGTCAGGGAAGATGTACGGCTGTGGATGCTGATAGTACCAGAATTCTTCCTCAGCCTCCTTCAGCAGCTGGGTGGCCTTCATCATATCCTTTTCATTCTTATGTTCTTCAAACCGGGCTCTCATCAAACAAGCAAAGTATCGGTATTTGTCTCTTAAACCAAAATGATTTTGAAGATTAGAAATGTTACCTACTCACATGGTCAGAGTTGCTGTCTGACAGGAGGCTGCACTCCTGACACCTTCTGGATGGGCAGTGGACCTCCCCCAACCCTCCTAATGGAGCAGCCGTATCATCATGGCTGCTTCCTCTAGAGCCCACCAAACAGCAGCAGCAAAAAATAATGTATTAAATATATACCCTAACCATTTTTCTCCTCTTACATCCAACAATGGAAAGAGGATTTAAACAAAAAAGAAAAGAGAATTCGCAAGAGAAAAGCTATAACCTCTGTAGGATCATTCAACACTCATTGAATGACAACTTCCATTTCCTTCTATCTTGTGCTAGTCACTATGCTAAATTCTGGAGATACAAAGATGAATAAGAAAGGTGTTACTTGGCAGAAACAGTATTGCTTAGCTCATACAGAGCTGGGTTTGTATCCTGACTCTGACACTAGCTGCATAACTTTAGGCAAGTTAAAGTCAGGTTCTAAAGAAACTGGGCAAAGACCAGCTAGGAGGTTTTGACAGTAATCTAGGACACAGATGACAAGGGCCTGAAAGTAGAGAGCTGTGATGGTGACAGGAGACAGGAGAGACATTTAGAGACATTTAGACTTCCCAGTTATGAGAATAGGCTCTCCAATCAGACTGTGTAGGCCTGAATCTTAGCTCTGCCACTACTAGCTGTGTAACCTGGGGTAAGTTAATGTCTTCTGGCAAAGTGCAGTGGCTCATGCCTATAATCCCAGCACTTTGGGAGGCTGAGGTGGGTGGGTGGGTCACCTGAGGTCAGGAGTTCAAGACCAGCCTGGCCAACATGGCAAAACCCTGTCTCTACTAAAAATACAAAAATTAGCTGGGCATGGTGGTGGGCGCCTATAATCCCAGCTACTCGAGAGGCTGAGGCAGGAGAAGCGCTTGAACCTGGAAGATGGAGGTTGTGGTGAGCCAAGATCGCGCCATTGCACTCCAGCCTGGGCAACAAGAGCGAAACTCCGTCTCTCGTAAACATTCAATAAGATAAACACACTTTTAAAAGTGCCTGGTACATCCCAAGTGTTCAATAATGTCAGTTACTAATATCATAATAGAAAGAGAATTTACAAAAACCAGTGTCGAATTATACATGGTATATGAGTATGTGTGTTATTGGCAAAGGAGTAAGGAGCAAATACTTGAGATCAATTCTGAGACTTAAAGCTCAGTAACTAAATTACTAATAATACCATTAGTAGAGGCAGGAAATTTGGGAAAAGAGTCAGAATGGGGAGTGATAGGAAAACAAGTTTGATTTCAAAGAATTTAGATAAATTGAGTGTGAGAGAACAGTTGGTGATCTTTTCAAATTTTTTTTTTTATTATTATTTTTTGAGACAATGTTTCACTCCTGTTGCCCAGGCTGGAGTGCAACAGGGCGATCTTGCCTCACTGCAACCTCTGCCTCCCAGGTTCAAGCGGTTCTTCTGCCTCGGTCTCCCGAATAGATGGGATTACAGGCACCCACCACCACACCTGGATAATTTTTGTATTTTTAGTAGAGACGGGGCTTCACATGTAGGCCAGGCTGTTCTCGAACTCCTGACCTCAGGTGATCCATCTGCCTCAGCTTCTCAAAGTACTGGGATTACAGGCATGAGCCACCATGTCCGGCCAACAGTCGGTGATCTAACAAACAATTTGAACTACAGCTCTAGAGACAATTGAGCGCAGGTGGTGACTCAAGTCCCAGCACTAAATGAGGCTGCCCAAAGTACATACAGCAACATAGTAAGCCTAGGATGGAACCACAGAGAACAGCACAATGAGGGCAAATGGAGGAAGAAATTAAGGCAAGGATTGAGAAAAAAATGTCAGATCTAAAAAATGCTGAGCCATAGCTGTCATAGTAGCTAGTTTATATCATCTTCCTCTAGCACTATGGACTTTAGTATTCCCAGCTGTAGTTCAGTATTGCTTGAATTCTTTTTTTTCATGTTTAATTTTTTTTGACACATAATAATTGTACCTATTTATGGGGTACATGTGATATTTTAAGACATCCATATAATGTATAATGATCAAATCAGGGTGATTTGGATATTCATCACCTCAAACATTTATCATTTGTGTTGGGATACCTGAATCCCGGATGGCTCAACTTCCTTCATCATCAATTTGTTTACATGTCCATTTTCCCCACTAATCCATGAGCTGCTGCAGCTCAAAAATTGATTACTAACATTTATATATTTAGCATAGAGCATAGAATCTGAATTGCAAATTCTGTCAAATAAATAAATAAGGAAAACTCAAGGAAGAAACTAACAATCTCATCACATTGTACTTGGCCATCTTCCTGCCAAATCAAGAGAAGTATGTCAGTGACTTTCTAATAGTCACATACATGCAATCTGGGCTTCGAGAATACCCTCTGCAATTCTTCCAGGCCTAATCCATTTTCCATGGAGTTTTTTCCCAGAAGCCCTTCTTATAAAATAGGTTTGGGGAGTTGTAAGACTGGAGTGGAGGCCTGGCACTCACACATCTTGGGTTGTCAGCCCACCTTGCATTGAATTTAGGTTATTAAAATCTACAGATTTTAACACTATGCTCTAACACTAGTCTCAGATGGATAGAGAAGGAAAGAGAATTATGTAACAGGTGAAAAAGATGTAAAGGTAATGAAAAGGACTAGATGAAGCTAAAAAGAGAAAAGCTAATCGGAGGGGTGGGCGAATAATGATGCTTTGGAGTAAGACCTAAATTTTAACCCTGGCTCAGACACTTACAAACGCTATCACCTTGTTACTAGCTGTACTTACCTCCTTATCTGTAAAATAAGCTTAAGATAATTCCTAAGTTTTGCTGACTAAAGAAAATAACGCATAGCTTACTGCTGTTAATATTGGAAAGTAGAAGATCGTGAAGAAAACGATTATTTAGCGAGCGCTGGACCCATGACAATTACAATTTTAGGCGTATTCCTTTATTTCACTTAATCTTCCTGCGACCCTCTGCGCTGGTCCTGAGTCCGTTTCACTACACAAAAAGCTGAGGCCCAGACCCGATAAGCAACTCTACAAGATCTCCCGGCCATGGGTGGCAAAGCCTGGATTCGAACCCGGGTCTACGACAGGATTCTGTGGCGCGAGAGGCCACCTTCCAATTCCGTCCCGAAATCCTTGAACCTCCCGGTACCCGGTGGCCTCTCCACCTCCACGGGGCCCCCAGGGTCACCTCCCCAAGTCCTGGGTCCCCATCCCTTACCTGTGGACGCACCACGACTCCAGGTGGCGCAGCACCCGCTTATAAAGCCGCAACACCTTCTGCTGATGGGTCAGGTAGACCCCCGACACCAATAACGCCATGACTGCGCTGACCTTCCCCGGCCGCGGGGACAGCCGGGAATCCGTAGGCCTGCGGCAGCTGACGGAACAACGCCAGCCGGAAGGGTGGAGCAGCCGGCGGCCACTTCCGCTTCCGCCGGCGAGGTCTCCCATCCGCAGTCATGGGTCGCTTCAAGTTTGTCGGTAAGAGGAGCGTTTTCCACGCCCTTGGGTCTTTTTGACTTGTCTCGGGCGTCGGTCACCAAGGTCACAGGACCCAGGAATTGCGCCCTCCGGCTTTGTAAGGGTTGAAAGGGTCGCTCAGTGGAAGGGGGCGCGGGGAGATTTCTGGGTGCTGTTAATGTTCTGGTTCTTGATCTAGGTCCTGGATTCACGAGGGTGTGTTTATTTGTAAAAATTAACAAGCCAAGCTGTACAGTTATGATTTTTGTGCTCTTTTCAACATCTGTAATGTATTCTGTTTTTAAAAAAGAGAGAAAACTCCAAAAAGGCCAATCACTGTGTTCCCATTCATCCCACGTGCACCTCCCGGCCCTTGGATGACCGCTTTTAGGGCCCAATTCACTCAACCTTTCATTCGTTCATATCATAGTTAATGAGCGCCTCAAGTGAGCCTGGCACTGGCCTAGAAACACAGGGCACAAAGCTCTCGGTTCTACTGTCATCACCATCTAGTGGAGAAACTAGAGAACACAAGTAGTGGGGAGAAAAACAAAATCTGTACTTGGCAAGTACAGTGATCCAGTCAGTATCAGTAGAACGAGAGAGCGAGAATGCTGCCGGGATTTCAATGGGCATGGTCCTCGTCTTTGTGGGGTTTCCAGCTACTTGAAGGTGGGAAATGACAGCGATCACACCTCTGCTTTAGCACGGTAATGCTGATAGCTATTATGTAGCTTTTGTGGGAAATAGGGAGAGGTAGGGAATCACTTCAAGACTTAAACTAGGGTAATGGAAAAGAGAGAGAAATGGAAGAGATGTGTGCAGCATTTAGCAGTCGAGTGTTCATGGCCGGTAGTAGAGAGTGAACAAAGATGACTCAGGGTTTGGAAAAATACTGAAATATGAAATGGAAGCATGACTAGTTTGGCGGTGAGGAGAGGTACCCGGGTCCATTTGGGTTAAGTTTGAGATAATTATAGGACATCCAGGTAGAGATATCTGGGCAATTGGGAATGTGGTCTGGCAATCAAGAGATAAGGATTATACATTTACATCTGAGAGTTATTTAAGCAGTATTTTTTTTCAAAGACGTTGTGCTAAGTCCTGTGGAACTGTAAAATCTAGTGGTGCAGTTTTCAGACTGGAGACCTAAGACCTATGTACTGTACAGTCAAAAGCAAACGCAGGAAAGAATAAGTTAAGTGCCAGGAAAAAGGTTTTGAAATTGCTGTGGGAAAGCCTGGAGTAGGGATTTGAGGAGGGGTCCTCAAATAAGACATTGCCGTGTCTTAGCCTTTCCATCCTAACGTTTGATATAATTGATGAGGGAGATGGAATAAAGAGCCATGAAGTCCTCCATAAAGAAAGGCCACATAACTTTTTAAAAGTGTGTTTATGTTACACAACTAAATCCTTGCCTCAAGTTAATGTTTTAAATCCATCCTCCATGTAGACTCCATTTTGGTGTATCTAAAACTCAAATCAGCTACATGTTTCTTTTGCTTCAAATCTCTCATTTATTCTCCTCAGGATAGTCTAAGTACTTTCACACCATACAAAGCCCTTCTATTGTCCAGTCCTGCCCACTTTTCTAGCCCATCCCTGGACTGCTCTATGAACACTTGTGCATGCTGTTTGTTACCTCTGACAAGGTTTTAGAGTGGCAGTTTGGGGCCACAATATTCCCTCTGCCTACCAACCCTGTTGCCTATCTGCCTACCTGCCCTGCCTGCCTACCTACCTTACTCCTTAAAACTTATACCACATTATTTGTAATTAAATATGAGTCTGTCTTTCCCACTAGATCAAACTCTTAAGGCAGATATTCTGGTATGGTATTTATATTTTTTTCCTAGAGGCGTAGTACAATGACTGTTTGGGCAAGTATGAATGAGTGGCTTTAATGCTAAGGTGATAAGAAAATTAGTAAAGGGATTAGCACCAGATAAAATAAGCAAGAAAAGACTTCTTAGAGAAGGAGACTTTATTGGAATAAATAATTGGAATAAATTTTTTCTGCATGGTCTCCTTTAGCCCCGCTCTCCTAAAGTAACCATATTAAAAGTTTAAAGTATAGCCTTCCCTAATTTTTTAATAGATTGTTATGCAGATTCATAAAAATACAACATATCAAGGTTTTTGTTTTTGTTTTTTTTTTTCCTTTTTAAAACAGAAATGAGATCGTATTATACATTCTATCCTTGGTATATGACTTACTCTGATATTTAATCTTTCAGTTTGTGTCATTTAAAAAAATTCTGTCCATGAATCGCTAAACTAAATTCTTAGCTATATGAGTTCTGAACAAATACTTTGAAAAACACCATATTAAATCTCTGGAAGATTGGTCCATGAACAAGCTTCACATGGGACAATTGCATGAAAAATTAAACCAGTATTATGAAAATTACCTTAGATTTTGGTTTAAGACAGCTGACCATTATAATTCTTTCTACATTTCTCTCTTTTCTACTTGCATAACAAGTGACTGCCCCTTAGAACTATACCCCAACAGTGGGGGTTTTTGTTTGTTTTGATACAGGGTCTTGCTCTGTCACCTAGGCTGGAGTATAGTGGCTTAGATCATGGCTCCAGCATTGACCTCCTGGGCTCAAGTGATCTTCCTGCCTCATCCTCCCAAGTAGCTGAGACTAGAGGCCCTCACCACCACACCAGGCTAATTTTTTTTTGTAGAGACAGTGTCTTGCTATGTTGTTCAGGTTGGTCTTGAATTGCTGGCCTTAAGCAGTCCTTCCACCTCCACCTCCCAAAGTTGTGGGATTACACATGGACCCACCGGCCAGCATGAGAATTTCTTTAGCCCAACTTACACTCTTTTCTTTCTCCACAAGTGGAATTTTTTATATTCTATTCCCTGGGTGTTATTTACAAACTCTTCCACTCTCAAAAATACTTCTACCTGCAACTATTATATGCCCAAATCTCTACTGCATTGATCTTAGATTACATAGTACACAAAAAAATGAGAAATATCTGTGCAAGAAGAAAATGCAAAATACAAACAACAGTGAAAATAAAAACATCACATTCCATTCCTGATATTGTTTAGATATTTGTCCCCTCCAAATCTCATGTTAAAATTTGTTGTCGATCGTTGGGGTGGGTCCAGTGGGAGGTGTTTGGGTCACTTCCCACCATCCATCTCATGGGGGTGGATCCCTCATAAAAGGCTTGATGACCTCCCTGTGGTATAGTTCACACTGGTTCCCCTTCCCTTTCCACCAGGGTTGGAAACTTACTGAGATCCTCCCAAAAGCAGATGCTGGTGTCATGCATCTTGTACAAGCTGCAGAACCATGAGCCAAATAAACCTCTTTTCTTTATAAATTACCCAGTCTCAGGTGTTCCTTTATAGCAATGCAAAAGCAAATTAATATAATTCCTCCAAATCACACATAACACTTCCATATCTATCTTTCCAGATCTTCTGTAGGCATACCAAACAAAGTAAGATCATACTGAGGCTACTCTTTTGTAATCTGCTTTTTTCAATCACAGTCTCCACCTTTCTATTTCAGGAAATTTTCATCTTAACTAATACCAAAACCATACAAACCTTTCCTGTTGTTCCAAAAATGTCCCTTGGTGGTCATGTCCAAAATAGTATCCCATTTAGAGCCACACATTTGGTTGTTCCTTAAGTTTTTAAATCAAGTGCAGAGGTTTGCAAACTTTTTCTTTAAAGGGCCATATAGTAAATACTTTAGACTCTGAGTGCCATGTGATCTCATTGCAGCTATTCAACTCTGCCCTTGTGTGTACTGTGATGTAATAATAAATACATATTTGTTCTGTGCTCCCATTCCTTTGTGCACAACTCCTGAAACCTTTGGAATCTCCTAAGTGCTTTTTGTATGCTACTAAGATGACTGATGACTGGGGGCTCCTGGATAGCCTCAGGATGGGGGTTTGCCTAGGAAAACCAATCATGTGATTAGAGAGTTGGAAGTTTCAGTCCCTCCCACCTCTGAGGAAGGGGAGAGGAACTGAAGGTTGAGTTGTTCACTAATAGCCAGTGATTTAATCAATCATACCTACATGGTGAAGCCTCTAAAAACCCATACATGTCTCTTATGTGTCTCTTCCACATGGTCGTTTTTGAGCTGCATCTTTTTATAATGAATGAGTAATAAGTAAAGTGCTTTCCTGAGTTCTGTGAGCTGCTCTAGCAAATGATCAAACCTGAGAAGGGGGTTGTGGGAACCTCTGATTGTAGCCAAGTTGGACAAGTTGTGGGTAACCTGGGAACCTCCTGCTTGTAATTGGCATCTGGAATGGGAGGAGTCTTGTGGGACTGAGCCCTTGACTTCTGCCGTCTGATGTTATCTCCAGGTAGATAGTGTGAGAATTGAGTTAAGTTGTAGGTCACCCAGCTGGTGTCAGAGAATTGGTTGTTGGGAGAGGAAACCCCACACCTACGTGATGTCAGAAGTGAATCTTCACACCTGTAATCCGAGCACTTTGGGAGGCCAAGGCGGGAGGACTGCTTGAGCCCAGGAGTTCAAGACCAGCCTGGGCAACAAAGTGAGACTCATCTCTACTTAAAAAAAAAAAAAAAATGAAGTATTCAGAGTATTGTGAGTGTGAGAATACAGTTTTCCTATCTCACACCTTGTCATTCAAAAGCAGGTGATAGTATGTAAGTACGTGTGGCCATGTTCCAGTAAAACTTACGGTCACCGGAACTTGAAGTTCTTATAATTTTGATGTGTCACAAAATATTATTTTGATTTTCTTCAACTATTTAAAAATGTAAAGTCATTCTTAGCTTAGAGGCAAACAAAAGTAGGCAGTGGCTTGTGGGCCTTAGTTTACCAACCCCTTGATCTAGCGCATTTCTTTTTTTAATGGCACTGACTTGCCAAAGCAGCTGGGCTAATTGTCCCTGTGAAATAAAAATAAAATTCTAAGCCCCCTAAACTGGCTGAACAGACCCCCCCCCTTTGGCCAAGTAGGCTCCAGAAAAACATGAAAAACAAATTCCCAAACATGATAAGATGGTCACGGTCTCCTTCCTTACTAACAAATACCAGACTTTTTTCCTAAAAGTTAAACAGAAACCAGCCTTGGAAAAACAAAGAATGGAAGACTTGCTCCTCTGCTGACTTCAGCCAACTGCCTGACATTGTGACCAGCCTCCCCTCCTTTTTTGCAGTTTCACCATGACAGCTGACCAGTTTCACGAGGCATTCCTTCCTGTACTGAGGGCAGTCACCACCCCCTCAGCCCTCATCAAGGCTACCAAAAAAATACTCCTGAGATTCCCCTCATTGTATATGTTTCTCATTCGATTTAGGCCCTTTGCACCTGTCCCCTCACTCAGCATCTTTAAGCCAGTTGATTGACCTCCTATGAGATACTTTTCTCCTCCTCTTCTAACCTAACCGTAATTTACTGTAACCTCCTTAATGTAACTACCATTTTGCATTTTTTTTTTTTTTTGAGACAGAGTCTCACTCTGTCGCCCAGGCTGGAGTGCAGTGGCGCCATCTTGGC